AAGGAACAAGGGAAAGTGACTTTGTATATGGACGACGTGGCTGTGCTGTGCAGGGACGTTGCGTCGGTGTGGAGAGCTATGGAGGAGACAGGGCGGTTCTGTGCGGCCTCCGGCTTGAAGGTCAGCACGAGGAAGAGCGAACTGACGGCCTTTGGGGACTCGAGGTTGTTCGAGGGTCGGCCGCCAGAGTTGAGGCTGCAGACGGAAGAGATCACGGCGCTGGGGGTGACCTTCTGTAGGGATAGATCGGCGGAGCATAACTGGGAGAAAAGGATAAGGAAGGCGAAGGGACGTTTGGGTAAGTGGGCAGGGAGGTGACTCACGATGGCTGGGAGGATCATGGTGGTGAAGGTGGAGATACTGCCAACGCTAAACTACCTGGCGCAAGTATTCCCACCTGGTAGGAGGGAGGTCAAGGCCTTGACGTCGACGCTATTCGGATTTATCTGGGGGGGAGGGATGGAGAGGGTGAGGAGGGCCATACTGTGTATGCAGGTTGGGAACGGGGGGAGGGGCGCCCCAAATGTGAAGTACACCCTGATCTCGATCTTTGTGTGTAATGCAATGAGACTGTTCTTCTCCGCAGAGCCGCGAGGCAAGGCGGCGTGCTACATGAGGTATCGCCTGACGTGGCGCCTGCGGGGCCTCGGGATGACCCAGGCTGAGAGGAGCACACCCTTGGACTGGCCGGGGGGCTGGTTGAGTGACGTGGTGGGGGACTACGTAGGGCAGCACGGCCTGAACCGGTGGGGGGGCCGGTGGAGCCCCAGAGAGGTGCGGGCTGAGGCAGATAAAGGGGAGGCCTGTGAGGAGGTGCCAGGTGCGAGGAAGGCGGTACACCGGCAAATTTGGAGGAACATGTCATCGGCGGCACTCACAAAAGAACAGAGGGACCTATCCTGGCTGGTGATCCGGGACAAACTGGAGACGAGGGGCTTCATCTACGCCCGCCAAATGGCATGCACCCCCAATGCCCGAGGAGCTGCAATGGGGACGAGAGCGCAGTATATGTGATGGTGGTATGCCCCTTTGCCCAGGAGGTGTGGAGGCGGAGCGAACCATTGTTGGCCCGGTTCGCCCCGTCGAAGGTGACAACATGGGACATTATGTGGGGGGAATTGCGGGGAGTGGGAGGGGAGGACAGGGATGGGCCATAATAGGCGCAACAAAGGAGGCCTTATGGAAGGCGCGCAAGAAGGAACTGGAGGGGTCCCAGATGTCCCCTTTGGAAACGTGCTACGTGGCAAGGAGGTTGTTGGAGAGGGTGGTGGAGGTGGATCGGGTGAGGCTGGGACACGAAGCCGCATGGGAAAAGTGGAAGTGGCCACTGCCCAGGGTGGGTTAGGGCGGCCTGGGGTGGGGGGGGGGCCTTTACTGGCGCCCGGGGGTGAGGTCGTGCGTGGCTTGAGGGGAGGTAGCCCCTCCATGCACAGATGTGGCCCAGTGCTGTGTCGGGGGTGATTCCGGTCTCGCGGATGGGCCGGTGGCCGGGTGGGGCCTTCGCGGCGCGCGGGAGGGGGCGGCCCCTCGATCTTTGTTTCATTTTGTTTTCTTCGCTGTGAATCTGAATACATTTTTTAAAAATCGTAATTACCAGCGAAACGTCGTACTCAAATTTAAAATGGTGTTGATTCACTCTTCAACACACCGGTGGGCTAAAGTAGTGAACTATTTGTCCTTAGTAAACGTGACACATTTTTATTGTTTGGCCGTGTCGGGTGGTGGAGGGTTACAACATATTTATAAATAACGCGATCTAACCCAAAAACCTTTATTACGAATATTATGAATTCAGTCTCCTGGCTCGGCCAAAGGGGGTTTGGCCAGGAGACGTCATAGACACCTGTCCCCCCAGGGCCACCGTCACAAGCTTAATAAATGTTTGACCTCGTAGATTAGTGCTAGTTAATTGAAGGTGGAGGGGTTACCAGCCCCTCGCACCCGTCCAGATCCCCCATTTGGCCGCTGTGGTGACTGCTAACGCCATGAGGGGAAAGGCCAATCTGAATTGGCCCTACCCCCATGGTACTGCCCACGACAGCGTTGCCCATCCGGCACCACGAGAAGGGAGGGGGTTGTTTTGCCGGACACACATGGACCCACGCACACATCGACTTGCACACATACATCGACCCATACACACACATCGATGCACACACACATCGACTCACACACACACACACACATGGACTCACACACATACATGTGAACTTACACACACACATCGACTAACACACAGACATATTGACTCACACACACATCGACACACAAAGACATTGACTCACACACATGTGGACTTACACACATCGACACACACACTAATGGACTCACACACACATACATGGACTTACACAACACACATCGACCCACACACACACATGGACTCACACAACACAAACACACGTGGACTTACACACACACATTGATGCAGACACGCACATGGACTCACACGCACTCATGGACTTAGACACACATTATTGTAAAATGTTGTAACCTAATTGTTAAATATTAGTTGTGTACACACACACATCACGCACACACTAATTAACACACACATCGACTGACACACAGACATATGAACTCACGGACACACACATCAACTCGCACACACATCGACTTGACACACGGACGTACACACACACATCGTGGCAGACACGCACATAGACACACACATTAATATTGTAATATTTAGCAGCTAAATATTAGTTGTGTACACACACCACGCACACACATCGAATGACACACACATGGACTCACGCACACACACATTGACTTGCACACACACACACATATGGACTTATGCACACACACACGGACGTACACACACACTAACATCGTCGCAGACACGCATATGGACTCACACGCACACCAGGACTTAGACACTTGAATAATACTCTTATATACGCGCACAACTTTATCTGTGATGAATGCTGCACTTTCCGTCGTTTTCATGCAGGGGGCGCTGCAAACCTACGCGTTCCTGCATGAACGACGGAGGCGCATGGACAGACGTTCGATTACGTTGGAATCGATCTGCAGACGGCGGTCTTCTCGCACGGCCAGCAGCTCTACGTCGCCTTATCTCGATCCCGCAATCCCAAACAGGTGAAAGTCCGCATCGAACCGAACCCCCAGCAAGGCCATCTACTTAACGACGAGAGAAAATTCACACGAAATGTATGGCGCCCCCGAACAACCCCTAGTTATAGTAATATTTACCAAGTAAATTCATAAATATTAGTTGTCAACACGTAAACAAAAATATTTTAATATTTCCAAGGTGATTATTAAAATACAGTAAAACCTTGGATTGCGAGCATAATTCGTTCCGGAAACGTTTGTATTTCAAAGCACTCGTATATCAAAGCGAATTTTCCCCATAAATAATGGAAAGAGATGATTCGATCCACAACCCAAAAATATCCATGTAAAATGATTAATACAAAATACCTTTTTATATTTTTATTATTTAAATGTAATATAAAGTAATCTAATTAATTTTAATCGTGCCTGGTGTGAGGGAGAAGAGAGAGGAAAGGGGGCCATTGTTGCAATGCAATTACTAAAGTCACTAAAAAAATGCTTTACGCACACACACGTGGTCACAACACTATAGTAAACAGTATACACGTGGTCACAACACTATAGTAAACAGTATACACGTGGTCACAACACTATAGTAAACAGTATACACGTGGTCACAACACTATAGTAAACAGTATACGCTCGCATGGATGTTGACTATACGAGTGAGGCACGCCGACTGAGACCGAGCATGGGAAGCGATTAACCACAATCCCACAGCGAGAGAGAACCATTGGCTCAGTTGTGATCACGTGACGCTCGGCAGACAAAGCGTATACTGTACGTACTACTCGTATTGCAAGACCTCGCTCGTTTATCAAGTTGAAATTTATTTAAAAAATTTGCTCGTCTTGTAACACACTCGCAGACCAAGTTTCTTGCAATCCATGGTTTTACTGTAATAGGTTTCTATGTACGTGAGTTTAGCGAAAGAAGCAAGAAATAGAAATATTAGTTGTCTGCACACAAACATTATTAATGTAATATTTGGAAGGTAATTATTTGAATAATTGGTTTCTATCAACGCGAGTTTAGTGAAAGAAGCAAGAAAATAGTACTTAACATCGCCGGCCTCGCCTAGATTGGCCAGCCCGCTGTGCAGTAATATCTACGGCCTATAGTGTATAGTAGTAACTGCATGCGTCGGGGTGGGGGGGATATCACACTGTGAAGAATTTACCTGAGCGTTTTGTGTATTTTTATTGCATTTTTAACGCGAAAGAAAATGTCCCCCTCACAACCCACTTAACGCATGACTTGGTAGGGGCCGTACCCCCCACCGAAGGCGTGTGAGTTGGTATGGTCGAGCGCGCGTAATAAATAAATAAATAAATCGCGCTAAATCGCTCATTTAAGTACTTTTAAGTTGAGGGATGAGGAAAAAGAATAGCGCTTGCTCACCACGGGCCTTACGGCGTGGTACCTGGATATATATATTTTTTTATGTAAACCCCTTTTGCAAGCCAAATCCTTTGCAAGTGTGCGAAAACACACAGACAAAAATGACATATATAAGAAAGATTGTCTGGGCCCATCACAGGAGGTTTTAAACCACATTGAATTTTGGAGCCCAGACTTATAAACCAGGGTCATGTGCCACGTTCCACAACCATAAAGGAGGGTGCTGCTTCATCTGTGAACCTGCTACTCAAAGCCATGCTTCCATTGGCAGCCCCATAAACCCAACATGAAGCACACTTGTAAAATGGTCCCAGGAACCACCTTTGATTAAGGAAGCGTACGTTTAGTCGGGCTGATCTCAGAACCATTCGTGAATTGCTTTTTTAAATGTTTCGCTTGGAAAATCTCTGTATGGTACAATTCCGTTTTCAAGGGTGTACAGGGTGTTCGACACATACGTAGCTGACACGTATGCAAAATAATCAAGTATCAATAATGAACGTGAAACTCAAATACTTGGTCAATGGCAGATCTTGTTTATTTCACACAGGGCCATGTTTAAAACAAATAAAATTACAAAAAAATATATTTAGCTTCAGATAGTTGAACTTAACCCTGGGTTAACACAAAGTAATTCATATTGTTGTGGAGAATGTAACAATAAATAAGCAAACAATCACCTCTATCCAATATCTGTCCCTACAGATAAAAATACAAGTACGTTTTACACATCCCATTGGTTCAATACAAGCAAAACTCTGGACATGGTCCGACATTTACGGTCTCATCAGGAGAGCCAGGCTTGCTTGAACTAATCCTGGGTAAAACGATCCACGGAAATATTGATTTAGATGGCTTCCCAAGCCTCTACGACCTGGCCATGTCGGGGATGGGTAGGGGGCAGTTGGAGCAGAGGGACTCATCCCACAAAGCGTTATGAATTGTGACGACTTTAATATTTGGGACATGCCATGTGCTGCTGCTGATTCTAGAACAAAAGGTACTGGGTTCCAGAGCCTTGTTGCAAGTGGTTGTGGAAAGGTAACAATTAGAGCTGCTTAATAATTCAGAAATGCAAATAGCATTAACTCACTATTGCCCGTCAAGACAACTCGTCTTCAATGGTATTTTGCTTGTAAATGCATGTGTACCATGCCTAACGTTACATGGCTGGCTGTTACTGCTAAATATTCTAGCTATTTTTGTTCTGATTAAAGTTCACGGAATAGGAGCCGGTGTCTGGGTCTTGCTGAAATTGAAAATTCTGAGTGGAGAGACCAAATGGCCGCAGAAGCAGATTTCCCAGGTCCTTAAGTTTGCCTGCGAAGACAAGGCAAACCAAAACAGTTGCTGAGCACAGCCCCAAATGTCAAGCAGCCAGCAACAAACAGCACTATCCAAGTTGTAATAATAACTCATATTTGTCAATAAACACCACATTAAATGGAATAATATATTATTGGCAACAATTTTGGTAATGGCCCGTCTTCATAGCACAAAGACCAGAAAGATGGTGTGGAGTTGTAACGGATAACAGTGAACGTTTCTTCAATTGAGCAAGGTTATTATAAGAACTTTGGGAAAAGAGACTATGGGAGGGAATCCTAAAGTGGAAGAGTGCGAGGGACGAAGCGGAGAGAAGTGTTGTGACCTGCAGTGTGGCAAGTGAGTGAATGAGTTCGTGTGTTGTTGTGACCTGCAGGATAGTAGTTGAACAAAATATGGTGGCTGAAACAAAACAGGCAGTGGCTGGTTGACCGAGTCCTCAGCGTGGGCAGAGGAATCAACAAATAAAATTCACAGGAACAGTAACCACAGTAGTATGGATAGAAGCGCAATACCGAGGCGCCAGAGCACTAGTGAATTAGTGAGTTACATAAACACCAGGCATGTTCACGACAGCAAGCACACGTCATGTGACGAGCACTGCGCGCGCTTGAACTTAAGCGCTGTGTGTGCGTTCTCACCCAGCATTTCCTCCTTCATCTTCTCATTCCTCACATGAATTTGCTCTGGTAAGCGCTGCACACACACATTCATGTAATTGCAACCACACACAAATACTGTATCACAAATACTGTATGTTGGTGATGAATTTCACGTCCATGTATGTATGTATGTACTACAACATTTGTGTGATCCACCAACCCTCGCCAATCATAAAGCTGCTGCCAAGGAGCTACTCCACGCGAACGAGCGACCCCTTATTGTATTTGTGCTTGACAATTTTGCATTTTATGATTAGCATGGTTGGCTACGTACGGTGCAAATAAAGTTCAAGATACATACAAGACTATTGAGTATTTACTTAAAAGAGAGACAAACATGGAGACACAAAGCGAGAGATTCGAAACAGGGCCACCCACGGTGCTCGTGATGCCTTGGTGTAAGTCACGTGCTTTAGGTGGCGCTGGACACAGCACATTTCTGACAAATATTTTAAACATTGCGCAAAATCTAAAATATTTCAGACTTTGCTTATACTGAAACGTTTAAACGCTAAAAGATTAACACCCCAAGTGTGCACGTACCGCGCAGGCTTCCCTCGCAGCACTGTGGGTGGGTTCCAGCACGAGGAGCGCTCGGTAATCCTCCAATGCCTCGTCCAATTTGTCGCTCGCCTCGTACAGCTCCGCTCGACGACCCCGTGCTCGTGCATACCCGGGGTCGAGCCCCACCGCTATGCATAATGCCGGGGAACACATAGTGTCACATGCAATCCCAGGGACACAAGTGATATAATTCACCTGCAAATACATGCAATCATTCACCTTATATAACAATAGGTATGCATTACATTCTGCGATGAAATGAGAGGTGAGACACTGTCCAGTTGAAATGCCACGATCATGGAAATCAAAAAATCTTCCTTCACATACCTTTGGTACAGTCTTGAATGGCTTTTTCCGTGTTGCCCTGTGAACATATGCACATGTGCAAGTACATATCTGCTTCAGGCTACTGTAAAAAAAATGTCAAGTGATTTCCTGCTCAAATGAGCAGAGGCATTGGTGCTTATCTTCTAATTTATAGCCCTGAGCCAGTGGTGGTAATTCCACATTCCTATGGGTGGCAAAGTATATCCGTACGCCAACCACTCTTAGATATCCCCGCAAAGTGGTAGGTTTATCCCTTGTTTTACGGCAACTAAAAAAATGCAATTGCACTCATAAATTAGGGAACACATTTGAGATACACTATGTTAAATTCGCATTTACAGAATTATGAATCTCGAAATCATTATTTTTTGGGGGGAAAATTGAACAATGAACATTCTGTAATTTGTCCCAGTGTACATGTCACACTGCTGCAGGTGGTTTGCAGAGCACGCGACGTTCCTACTGTGCTGACTCCCCACGCTCCCCGTGCCGTTCCCACTGCGCTGACTTCCCGTGTTCCCCGTGCTGTTCCCACTGCACCGACTCCCACGCTCCTCGTGCCGTTCCCACTGTGCTAACTTCCCGTGTTCCCCGTGCTGTTCCCACTGCACCGACTCCCACGCTCCTCGTGCTGTTCCCACTGCGTTGACTACTTGCGCCGCTCCCAAGTGCACTGGCTCCCCACGCCGTTGCCCCAGCTCGCCTCGTGTTGGTTCACTCTTTCGTGTGTGAACCAACAAGAGCCTGGTACTGTACTGTGCAGGATTTCACCCTTTTTATGTTATTCAGTAAAGTCAAGATGTCTTGAGAGGCCATGAAGTGCAAGTTACAGTAGAAATTCAAAAAGAGACTGGAAAGCAATTACCGTGAGGGTAAGTATGGTACGGTGTTTTTATTTCACTTCATTTTGAATTATTCATACTTAATCATAAAATTTTATATTTTGCATGATACACATGCTTCAAAAAGGTTTTCTGCATTCTTAAGTGTGATTTTATTATGTCTTTGGGCCGCATTTCTTTCCGTAAGAACGCATCTCCAGTTCTATAATGGAAGTCAATGGGTAAATATGGCTCGATATACGGAATTTGGCTTTACGGACAACTTTTCAAGAGAGTTTCCGTTCCATATATTGAGGGATGTCCGTACTCATCTTCTCCGGAGGAATGGTGGGCAGAGTCGGTTCCCAACCAAAATTTGAACTCGCAAACAAAGAGAAACTCCCTTACACGCTTTGTTCAGATGCAGTTTCCTCTGGCAGTAACTATGTGTGTACGGTGTGTACGCAAACGCGTTGCATGTTGTATCAAACCATTTTTTGGTGAGCGACGGCACGGTTAGAGTAGAGCACGGCGCGGTGGCTGGAATAGGCACGCAGGCAAACTTTGAGCGCACGTGTGTACGTATCTGCAGCCTGTTGGTACTCTAGACACACACACATATCTAGAGTGAGTGCATTGCAACCCTATGACTGCACCGAAGAATGCAATCTCCTATTTTACAGTAAACTGTTTCCTTCCTGTCAGTTTAAAATTTTAATACAGCACAAAATATATAAATGTTAATATAAATTGTCTTTGTTTACAATATGAATGGCAAGTTATGAAGTGTTTATAGTATGAAATGTTAAGTTACGAAGGCTGGGAACGTATCCTCAGTACTCTTATAAGTTATTCAATATACGAAATTTGAATATACAAAGCTCCAGGAACGCATCTACTTCGTATATCGAGGTATTACTGTAAACCTGAAAACACATGGCCTCGTTTTATGAGCCAGTTGTAAAAATCGTTGACTTAATGTGGTTAGTAGCCAGGTGGCTCAGAGGCTGAACACCTGCAGTTTTTTACACTAGACATTTTTTATTTGGTTTTACAAAAAAAACATTTTGTTTGGTTTTACACTGAGAGACATAAAGAGAGCACAACATGATAACATTAACACATAGGTAAGTGGCATCCAAACAGGACAGAATAGTAAAGTGGGCTTGGGTAGGATGTGTCATGGCTAGAAGGTACAATGACGAAAGTCAAGAATGATGATGGGAGTGGCAGCCAAGAAACAGAACACTTCGGAGAGGACGTTCCCTGATGAGATGGAGCAATTAATTCAGTTCATCTGCAGGTGCTCGATAGAATGTTGAATTGCAATTTTGTGAGAGGTGACTACAATTAAAGGAAGCCTTTGTCCAACAGTTGATTGATCATGACTGACGATGGCGAATGGAAACCGATTGAGGTGTCTTGCTCCATCTGTGACCACTCCTACCTGCTTGTTTGAATAGCTGGTTGCCACTTTCCTTGAGCATCATGGCCTCATCACGGCGACGCTGTGGACCGTTACACAACTGTGTTACTGAAAACAATATTAACACAAGACCAGTTATACAACTGTGTTCCTGTGTACACAACCCAGAACCCTCGTCCCCCCGTGTTAGTCTCACCTCTTTTTCCTCATCGCTCAATCGCAGCTCTTCCTCCAAAATAGATTCTGCATCAGATTCTTCTCCCAGATCTCCACTTTCATCTGGCTCCACCACCTCCATTCCACACAGCAACACACAACACGTATAGTATGTTAACTTATTTTAGGGCCAGTGTTGTTGAAAGAAGATTCTTAAAAATCACAGGCATGTCAACGTTTACCTCTGGTTCAGAGGACACATTTGTGTTGGCAAGATATACTTTATTACTTGCAAATATAGTTATCAAAATTAATTAAACAAAAAACACGTTGCTTTAAGAGGGTGTGAGGCACCTGTTACATGGTGCCTGTCGAGCTGATTCTATACTTAGAAAATAAAACAAGTTGGCTTGTGTAAAGCCATGAGATTGATCGATTGGAAACCGGGGCAACCAAATGATCTGAGGGATGGTGAAATCGGAACGATGCTCACAAGATTGCTCAGGAGGGCATTCATTACCCAGGGGGTGCTGGGTTATTGGCTCAGCTCCTGCTATATAAGGGGGCTATAGCAGCCAGAGAAGCAGGAAAGAATCTGTATATAACTACTACTGTTGCCATTATTTGGAGTTCACCTGACAGCACAGCTGCCCCCAAGTCCCTCTTACACATTGGGGGCAGCAGTGCCATAGCGCCACTGACTGATCAAGTATGCAAACACGGAGCAGATCTTTGGACAATGGCTGGAGCTGATACAGCAGCGCGCCTAGCAGCAAATGAACCAGGCCCATCAGCATCACGCAGCCTCTCACCAATTAGGTTAACATTGTACTTGTTTAATCATTCGCCAGCCTGGTTTAACACGTTTCTTGAATGGAGCAAGGTTGGGAAAATAAACAATGGGAGGGAATTTTAAAATGGTGCAGTGAGGGGCAAGAATAATAAAGAGGTGTTGTGACCTGCAGCATGGTGGTACTTTGTAGTTGTAATTGAGTATGGATTAATTAATCTTTAACATGTAACTTTTTTTTCTAAAACTCTGCACTTAGCTTGTATTTACAGCAACCACCTTATTCAAACTCACCACTTCTGATTTTTCTTTCATTCTCTCTTGACTGTTTTCCACATCCTTGATCACATCTTCATCCCCACGCTTGTCAAACATGTCTGAACAAAGCTCTTTTTCCAAACTCCCTCCGCTCCCCGTCGCGCCCATTATGTCACGATGGTTTGAATCATCATCCAAGCAGCTGTCCAGCAACACCGGTCCCTCCCCCACCTCCTCTGCTCCCACCTCATCAACTTCGTTACCACCGGGTACCACCCCCACCGCAGCCTTCTCAGTCAAGACCTTGTCACGGCCTGCGCCGTCCCGCGAGTCGTTTTCTTCCTCCATTAATGAGGCAGAGCAGTCGTAAAATGCCTCCTCTTGAATGTCCGACTCGTACTCTTCCATTGGTCAAAACAACACCGAGACTACATTAGGTACAGACACACAGTGCATAGCATTAGGGATTTCACTGGAAACAAGGTAGCAGGCAGTGGCCCTGTAGCGAAAATGGGTATGAGGTGAAAATACGTGACGTAAGTCGATGGATATTTGACATCACAAAACTGAAAACATCGCCAGTCAGTATTGATCACTTTCCATCAGCACTCTTTACCACTGCAATCACCATGCCTCATCATCATCAGCAATTAAAATTCAAATGCCATAGCAAACTTCCGATTACGAGCCTTTCCGCCACCTGACCTGAAAAAGCAGAGCAACAACAGCTAACATTTGTCACTAAGTGGCAGTAACATCAACTGGACTGTGGTAGGCCAGTGCACTGAGGCCACGTGAAGTATCCAAGACTCGCTGACACGGGATAGACCCAGGTGCCATGGGTTGACTGAGTTGACTGGCAGATGTATCAACTGTGCACAACTTTCCACCTTTGATCTGTCCGCCGCTCTGCTCATGTGTTGTGCGTGTTGCTCTGCCCTACGTTAATGAAGGGCAAGTGTGTCCATATATACACACACACGTACATTTACAAACACGTAAAACAACCGCCAGTCGCCACTAACGAACACACACCTTTGATTACCAAGGTTTGCTACGTACGGTGCGAAATAAGTTAAACATACATACAAATACAATAAAATTGATTTGGTAAATGCTGTTGGCGAGTGCCTATGAAGGCCGGAATGGTACACGAGAGGGCGGGTGACCAACACCACACCCGACCGCCTATGTCTCACCATTGGCGATCCTTTTTACACACCGCAGAAGGTACTCAATTGAGGCCGAGTCGACCTAAGGGAGGCCCAGGACCGGTTCAGATAATCGCCACTGGTATTGGCCGTCAACGGGAATCGAACCCGGGTTTCCGAGTTCGGAGCAAAACGCGCTAACCGCTACACTACCGCCCCTCATTCATACATGCATGCACACACACAACACCACCACGTACACACAACACCACCACTTACACACAACACCACGTACACACAATAACACCACGTACACACAATAACCCTACGTACACACAACAACACGTACACACAACACCACCACGTACACACAACACCACCACGTACACACAACACCACCACGTAGAGCCTCACCGCCTCCACCGCCACCCTCACGTACCGCGCATCTGCACCGCGCTGCGCCCCGACTTCTGCCCCGCGGAACCAATGAGGGAGCGGGATAAAGGACACGTGATCGGAAACCGCCTTGTCATATCATGCGTCGTCAGTTTGCCTCTTAACACGTTGTCAAAGCGGAGGTTTTACCTCTTTATTTCTTGAGTTTAATAGCCCTTCAGAATCAGAATATTACTGATAGGAACCTCCAGGTTACACCAGCCCACAGGGGATTATTGTGTCCGTTCGTCGTGCATCCAAAAATGGGAGGGGTGGGGCTGGGTGGGGAGGGTGGTGCTGGGTGGGGGGGTGGGAGAGGTGGGGCTGGGTGGGGAGGGGCTGGTCACCCCGTGGTGCCCTTATAAAACTCACCGAGCAACCCAACGTTCCTACCAGCTCCCTCCGCAGGAATATGTTTATATTGGAGGAATCCGATAAGCTATGAAGCTCTTTTTCACAAATGTCAGGTGAGAAAGTTACAACAACAATACAACACCGACAGGAGTGCAACGTATAGGAAAAGTAAGCAAGTCACTAAAATAAATCAAGTACAAAATGCGAAAGTATATCAATGCCTTCTGATTTAAAACAATTCATTCAAACGTTGTCAAGGCAGCTAAACAACAGCAAAAGTCCCACGCCACAGCAAGACAATACACAGTCCCTCAATAAAATTGCACATTCAAATTGAACTATCGATACAATGTTTGCAGCTCACCTTCCTCATGATGCAGAGCATCTTGTGTGCTAGGAAGAAAGCCCATTGCCCAAAACGTTGCCGACATTCCCACTCACTGACTTACCCACCCACCCACTTTACCGTGTGCGTCTCTCTAAACTTTTTTTGTTTAATTCTACCAGGTAAGGCCCACTGAGATATACAATACAGCTCTTTTTCAGAAGCGACCTGGCCACAATGATAGTTCAACGAAGTGGCTTATATGGAAATTAATAGCAGCCAAATACTCGAAATGCATGTTTCTAAATGTAGAGGGAAAAACCGGCGGACCCACAGAAAAATCCACGCAACCACGGGGAGAGAAACACGCAAGCTCCGAATATATGGGCGTCAGTGTCAAGAGCGAACCCACGACCTCCTGTGTACCTGGCGAGGTAGTTAACATCTCGCCACCGTGGCGGCCCTCTAAATTAATGAACGGGTGCGGGAGGGACTCTGCACTGACGTGGAGCCTTTGCCCGCCATGTCGCATTGCCCCCAATTACCGACCCGACGACTCTCGCGCCATTCGACATGAGGCGGCGGCGACGTCACCACGGCGCTTGTGCACTTTGATGCCACGCGAAAGGTTGAAGGCTCGCTGGCAGGTCACGAGTTGACTAACTTGCTTACCTTTTTCTCGATTTTGCACTCCTATCGGTTTTTGTATTGTTTGTTAATGTAACTTGCTGACCCGCCCATACTGGACATCTGTGAAAAAGAGCTTCATAGCTCATCGGATTACTCCAGTCTAAATAAAGATTCTGATTCTGACTTAGATGACTGGTATGTTATTCTCCCGGTGCTCCGCTCCTTGTCAGCATCGCTCATTCGCCTTCCGCTGCTGTTGGAAGGCAAATACCTCCAAATGGCCCTGTAGCCTCCAGGTGCACCTAGCCTGGCAATGCCCAGTAGCATCCTTCAAAAATGTATTTCTCCACAGAGGCTGATCTCGACACAACTGGTACCGGGTCATCAGCAAATCCACTAAGCTGCACATCCTCCTGTACCACATTAGTTCAGCTCTTCTCTTGCCTGTGCCACATCCATTGAGCCCGCTCTTTGCGGTAAAACAAAAGCTGTTTGGTTGTTTTTATTCGGTAAAAAACACTATATTTAAAGAGCCGCAATGCATGTGAATAACGTCACGAAGCAGTCCTTAAAGAGCCAAATGCAGGAGCCGCAGGTTGCCGACCCCTGAATTCGGAGTTAGTATTAGGAGTTAGGGTTAGGGGTTAGGACTATAGGGTCAGGACTAGAGGGTTGAGGTGGCTGTATGTGCATTATAGGCTAGAGATATAGGGTTAATCGAGGATACTGTGCAGGCGTATCTTGCTTAACAAGTGTTCTTTCTATGATAACTCGCTAAAACAATACATTTGAATTTACACCAATTTTTTCGCAAAACGAGCAAATTTTCGTGTAACGAGTGGAGATCAAATGCGTTCCGTGGTGGCAGGGGCACACTGCGGCCCACAGTTTGTTGTTGTTTGTATTGCACGCTTTCAGATGCGCTTCAGCGGCTGTCTGGAACGCTCTTTCGTCCGATACTAGTGTAATAAACGACTTCCACGACACGTTAAGACTTGCGTCCTTTCTTTATTAGTTATGACTGCTCGGCTCCGCACTCTCTTTAGATGGTCACCCTCTCTCTCTCTTGCCGCATGCACGCGCTCTCTGCTCCTCCGTCGCGCGGCTTCCCTCGCTCTCGCTTCCCTGTGCACCGCTGGTCGACGGCGCGCTGGAAATCGAGAGAGCTTCGCTCGCGGCTGCCACGTGGTCGGTGGCTGACGAGATGGCGGAGATGCAGTCCAGACCCAAGCTTCCACACCGAACCCCTAGTCCTCCTGCCTCTCCTTATATCCTCCTTGGCGGAGCAAAGCCCCGCCTCTCACCACGCCCCCTTCAGAACCTTCTCGATGGTTCCCGCATGTACCCCTGAGCTCTGCCCATGAACTTTGGGCCAGATCGAACCCGTAGCCCTGATTGGCTATGACCGATGCGGTAATGCCTATGCAGCCCTCCGTATGTCGGTGTGCTCTCTCATTACACTAGGAAGCCACTGGAGCAATGCACTTTTAAATATGAATTGAAACATATTTCTTTAGAGCAGATTTATGTGTTTAGTTTGTTGTCTTTACCCCGCCACTCCGATTAGCACAGTTGGCTACGTACGGTGCGAAAGAAGTTCAACATATATACTCTACAGGTTCGGGCAGTCATGGGGTTCTGTATTCTAAGGCTCCTTTCCAAATTGCCGTCACAAAATCCGACGAAGGCCAGAAATGCCTGAGCGATTATGCTGCCAAAGCGGTGCATGATCGCATTAAACACAGAGCACTATGCTGACAAAATATTTTCCCCTAAATACCTCCGGAACCATATATCCCACAGAGTCGAGCCGTAGACCGACCATTCCAATCGTCTCGTCGAGCCGCGTATAAAGGTATTTTTTTATATACCAAGTTGACTTTTGAGGCATTTCAATTGGAAACATAAGGAGTCTCAATTCCATTGCAGAGAGTCCTAAAACCACACTCGAGAGTCCCTATTCGAAAGTGGGAGTCCCAATTACAACGCCATGGCATTGGGACTCCCGAAATTGAATTTGGACTCCTGTAAACCTAATTAGGGGTTAGGGTTCGAACTATAGGGTAACAGTCATAGGTTTGGGGCTATAGGGTTGAGATGGCGATATGTGGATTCCAGGTTTATGGTCAGGGCAAGCGAAAAGGGTTGAAATTTCTATATGTACTTTTGGATCTACACAAGTCACGTGATGCCCTCTTGTGGACAAACGCATAACTATAGCTGCTGTCTTGCAAAGATCAAAATAACTGAGCATGAAAGACATTCTCCAGTCGCCTCTCCAATGCGAGTGTTTTTATCTCGTCAGCCGGATGACCTCCTGAGAGTGCATCTCATCAGCGGCATTGATTCAACACGAGCAACAGCCTGGACAGGCTTCGACACTCCGTGTCTCATCAGCAGTCAGGCTCGCTTGCACCAACACTGGTATAACTACAGTAATGTATCAGTACATAGCACTGTACAGGCTTGCTTGAACCATGTTATTGGCAGGGACCCACTTCATTAGATATAGGACCTAGTTCAGCACAACACTCCAAAACGCATCGAGCCTGGCTTGCACGGACAAGCGGCGCCCTCTCGTGGACAAATCTATGGCTGCAGATTATTTTGTGATGCCTTCACAGCGGTGCATGAACGCAGTTATCAACTCCATGAAAACACGTCGTGGGCTTTCGCGACCAATATCATCCATAATAGAGGTTTTTTGGGGGGGTTAGATCGCGTAAATATATAAATGTGTCGTTAAAACCCGTCACCACCCGACACAGCCAACTAGAACGGTTACAATGATGCACAACAGGGCATTGAATACTCTTTGGTTCTTTCGGAAAAGTCACGTAGTTAGAAATAAAATAAAACAAATCACGACGTTCCGATCGCAACACAAGCGGTCGTCATCAGGCAAAGAACCAAAGAGTATGGATTCCTGCAGTCACGAAAGCTTCAAATCAGGGCATTGAATACCAAATCAAATAACAAGAGCATTGAAACTGCCCAAGTAATTAAAACGATCAAAATACCGAACATTGCGGGAGTAACTGATAAACTAGCCAGATGTTTGGAAAAAAACATCCGAGTCAGATTTGTCACGGTACATAAAATACAGAATTTAATATCTGGAACAAAAGCTGTATCACCGAAGCTATCAACAGAAGGTGTGTACAGGATTAACTGCACGTGTGGTAAATGTTATGTTGGGCAAACAGGACGAATGATCAGCACGAGACTAAAAGAACACCAGAGAAATATAAAATTCTCCCAAATGCAACTGTCAGCAGTAGCAGAACATGCGTTCCAACATGGACACTCAATTGATTTTGATCATTAGAGAATCTATCGAAATTGAAAGATATCAAAATAATTTTTAACCGTTCGGATAGCTACCGTCTTAGTGCTGCGTGGAAGCGAATCATAAAATAATACATTATTTAAATGCATGCCTACAAAGGGTAGCGTACTTCAATATGGATTACCGTTGGTAGGGCTATTATATTAAACACAAAAGACAAGAAAGACAATTTCAAAGGGCTCGCATAATGCACATGCATAATGTACGTTGCCTCAGTAATTCGACCCCCCCATATTGTGCAAGAGCGCAGAAGGGTGGTCACCACATCTACGCCTCTCCAAAAATCTGGCTTTCGCCTGATGAAGCTAGTTGTAATTACTGGCAAAACGTCGTACTTAGATTGTAAATGGCTTGGCTCTCCAACACACCGGTTAGTGCTGTAAGAGTGACGAATCGGCACGTTCTGTGTACGTGACAACCCTTACTAGTTGGCTGTGGCGGGTGGTGGCGGGTTTTAACGACACATTTATATATTTTCGCGATCT